CTCAGTAATTCCACACCCTAAGGTATAGTGGACCCATCCTTGGGTACATGAATGATATAAAGGGAAAATGAAGGACAGATCTGCGTCTGTTTCTTCAGAGAAGCTCCAGTCTTCACCTTCACCTTGGACGTCATCTGGCTTCCAGTGCAGACTCTTTGGCTTTCAGCACATTATTTTTGGCCTCCTGGCATAAACCCTTCAGCCTTCTACTGCAGATCCATCAGTCTCCTGATACAGACTCACATAGACGCTACAGTGAGCTCCAGACTTTTAAGTATAAACCCTCTTGGACTCTTCCTCATCCAACTCTGTGGGTAGCCATTGTAAGCCAATCTTGTAAATTCTTACATATTTGTATATCTTTGTCATATCTGTTTCTTTAGTAAACACTGACTGATGCAGGTTTTGGAACCAAGAGTGGGGTCAGAAAGGCTTCCACTTACATTCAGAAGAAGGACTGGAACGGCAGTGTGTAAAGCTGTGACTGAAGCCAAATATGCAGTGGACATCCGAGAAGAGTGGGAAAGCCAGGAATATGCATCATTCAAGGAAAGCGGCGAAGAGTGAGCAAAACCAGCTAAAGAAGAAAGCCATGGGAGCTACCACCACCAGAAGTGTCACATGGGCAAATCCACCCAAGCCCTTTGGTGTTTACATCTTGCCAGCTGGGGATGCTGGAAGTGGAACTATAGGATTTAATTTTTTCCCTGCTGGATTTTAGACTTGTGTTGGTCCCATTCCTTTGTTATCTCCCTGTTGGTAACTTTTGGGATGGTAATGTTTATCTTGTGCCACTGAACATTGGAAGTATTTAACTTTCTTTTCATTGTATGGAGGTTTACAGCTAAGAGTTTGCCTTCAATCTCAGACGAGACTTTGGGCTTGCACTTTTCAGCAATGCTGAAACTGTTAGGACTTTGACAACTCTTGGAGATAGACTAAATGCCTTTCCCATAAAGGGATATGCATGAGTTTTTTTTTTTTTTTTTTTTTTTTTTTTGTCTTTTTCCTTTTTATCGGTACCAGGGATCGAACCCATGACTGCCTGCTTGCAAGGCAGGCGCTTATGCCACTGAGCTAAATCCCCAGCCCCTTAGGCATGAGTTTTTAAGGGGCCGGGGCAGAATGTCATAGCTTGTATCTACATATCCCCCCAAAGCCTCATATGGTCATAGGTTGAACGGTCATAGGTGGGGCTTTTTCAGAGGTGGTTGGATCTAGAGTGTGTGGCCTTGGAATAGATTCACGGTGCACTGGATTCATGCTAGGATCAAGGGCAGAAGGATTAAAGTAGAGTGGGTGTACTCACTCTAGTCTGGATAAGATAAAAGGGACAGAAAGATGCTGGTAAGGCCCCTTGTTGCTTTTGCTACCTTCTGCTCATCATAAACTTGTATCTCTGCCACATGCTACCCTGCCTTGGAGCCATCCAATTATGGACTGAAACTTCTATGAACTTTTATAAACTTTTCTTCCTTTAACTTTTAAGTATCAGGCATTTTGTCTCTGCAACAAGAAAAGCAACTAATACATCCTTCAATGGTCATTTTACTGATACCGACAGTCACATGTAAACGCATGTGCGTACACATACATATGCATACATACACAGGCAAGCCTAAAACCACACACAGATGCGCAGCATGCATTTAAGTCATGCACCATAGCTCCCCAGATAATACAGGTGTTGGGACAGACTATGATTACCTCTGTAGGTACAGCGAAGCAGAGTGGGAGAGCCCAAAGCTGGTTTTCAATCTGGGGCAATTTAGTCCCTTTCCTACCCCCAGGGACATTGGGGAATGTCTGCAGATATTTTTGATTGTCACTACCTGGGTGGCGGAGAAGCGGAAGAAATGGTACAACAATCTACTAGCAGAGAGAGGCCAGGGACCTCTCTCTGCTAACTGCTAACTGATGCACAAGGCAGCCTTTGCCGCAAAGGACTGACCAAGTCCACATGACTTTGGTGCTGACGTTGAGAAATCCTGGGTTGAGGCCACGCCTAAACATTGTGTCTCAGGAGAGTTCACAGTGCTGCTGTTCTGTTTGAACCACAAGGCCTTTACATTCTGTCCAGGAGAAGGGGAGGGAGGCTCCTTATTCCTTTTTTGCTCACGTGGCTGGATAACAGGGCCTTAATTCCAGCCTTCTAGACTGCCATTGTCCTTAGTGTGCTGCTGCTGCTACAGCTCTGGGTCCTTTCTCCAAAACCCCTGAGCATAGTATACCTCAGCTGCTGCTTGAGAGTGCCATTCCCACACATAAACTGGTCACCAGCTTGCTGAGGGTTGACTCTCCTGCTCTTGTGTGGTCTATAGAATACTGGAACCAATTCATTTCAGAATCAATGCACAATTATTTTGGATTTGTCAATATAAACAAACTAGACACTACAGTGACTAGATCTCAGGACCTAAAGACTGTGATTAATTTTTCCAGGACTATCCGTTTTCCTCTTGATCTTGTTCTTATTTCCTGCTGCCCCGACCTGTTGTCTCAGGCTCATCCCAGAATTGGTCATTCCAATCATCTTGGTTGCTTGTTAATATAAACTTTGCAGTGACCTGAGTTTCTGCTTTCACTGTCCAGAAAAGAACAGTGGTCATCTGAAACGCCACAAACTTGATGTTCTTTGTTTAGAGAGGGGAGTGCCATTCCTGATAACATAATCCCAATTATGCACAATTAGCTGACTCAAGTCAGTGCTGGCCATTTATTGACTAGGCAGATGGTCACCCAGCTCCTGATTTTGTCACAGCAAAACCTGGTTTAATTTGGACCTAGAAAAATAAGGCATAGGCCTATATTTCCAGAAGGCTTAATACTAACAGATAATCCCCCAGATGTGTTAAATAGCCAAGCTAGAAAATATCCTGTTCTGTTTCTTTTTTAGGGTTTTAAATTAAAAATGTGTTTTACAAGTAAAATTATTTATTTTCATTTCCAGCATGCACCCAAGGAAGTAGAGCGAAAGAAAAACTTTGGGAAACAAAATTCTCCACATTGCAGAACTCAGAAATGCTACAAAAAATTAGCCATGATGATTTAATTTGGAAACTCCAGAGGAGTTAGAAATTTAGTGAAATGAAAACAAAAATTTCTCAGTCTCGAATGTATTAAACTAACTCAAACAAAATAACTCAATCATCCTTTGAGCTAAGATTTGCCATAATTTGGTCACGGTTTATGAAACCAACATTGAGTAAGAAAGTCAAAATGATTTCTTTCTCTGTAAATTTTTGAAGTTTTGTTTATCAACACAGAGATTCCATCATAAAAATATTTCTTTTTTTAAGCCAAGCTTGCAAAACATTAGGAAATAATTTATTCTTGTTTACTATGTTTGTAATCTACAGGTATAAAGTACTGTGGTCAAGAAAATCTTCAGTCATAAAACAACTAATAATATCTATTTTCAAACTTTATGGACATCTTTGATTATCACTATCATGTAAGCCAGCATAAATGAAACTCTAATGAACATTTCTTATGTTATATGCAAATACATAGTTAAATTGAGAGCAAATATACCTTTCTTTACATAACAATGAATTCCATTTGTATAAATTTCCTGGAGGGTAAATCAAAATTTAAATGAATATGATAGATGATGTCTTTGTAAAGTGAAGACTTTCTGAGAAATGAATTTACCAGTTTTTGAAGTAAAGGATCATAGATTGGATTTCCTTAAAGCAAAATATACAAGGATGGCAGTAACAATGATCATGAAGATGAAGACAGTAATCCAGGTTTACTGAACTGTATTATAAGGCAGACATTCAGCTGACTGTACATGGTTTATCTCAGTGGAATCTTCTGTCTTTCCTGCTTGGATCAAGAGGTATCTTTAAGCACCCAAACCCAACACAGCCGCTTCCTGTTTTACTTGACATCTAAGTATGAATAACATTATGAATGAAACACAGCAGAGTGGGAAGAATGCAGAAAAACAAAAATCTGCAAGCTGCATGATCTCAGTTATCTCACACTTTCTAAGCTGCAGCCTCCTTTATAAAAAATAAAATACTCCTGGTACCGATAAAAACCAAAAAGACAAAAAATAAAATAAAATACTCTGGGCCTAAAAATCATCCGATCAAATTACTATCAACTCCACTTATAAGGAAACTACCTTTGTTTTAACAAAGAATCCAACTAACACTATTACATGACCATAGATAAGTAAAATGTTCACCATGATGTGGGCTGTGTGGTCTACCAGAAGGCCCAGTTGCAATGATTGGAAATATTTGAAAGGAATATTAGGTGCCACATCTGACAGTCTGATTTAGAAATCAAAAGTCAGTTTGAACCAGTATTTGATGACTTATGCAACAATTATTTGTAAAATTGTCACATGCTCCAGTTAGGTCTAATTCTTGAAGGTAAAACCAATATCATAATCATAAGTGTTGTCAAGGTAACTACTTGGCAGGTAGACGTGGTCTAAGTGTGTGCTGAATTAGAGACTAAATTGAAGTAATAATTTAGCCTTGATTTACTGAGATGGAGTCACTATTTGGAGAGATTCTGCACTGGAAAAGGCATTCGTCCACATTTTGAACTTTATTTCCTTCTACTTCCCATTTTTACCACTTACACTGTACTTACTCACTCTGGCCCAAACTATTTGATTCAATTGAATATGAGCAAATCCCATTTGGCAAATTGCCTAAGTTTATAGAAGTCTCCAGGTGTGTGTGTGTGTGTGTGTGTGTGTGTTATTGGGAGGGCCTGTGTTCCATGTTGTCACCCAGATATTTGGGTACATTTGTGTCTGCAGATGTATATATTATATCCTTCCCGGGTGCAATGCACTTGCATTTCTCCAGCCTTACAAATCCTGAAAGCATTGGCTAAACCATACCCTGCAGTTAAGTAAGTATTTTAGTGGAAAATTAAAAAAAAGTTTAGAAACCGAAAGTTGCCAACTGAGAGCAGAAGGAAAAAAAAAAAAGATTGCATATCACCCAAAAGAGAGAGAGACCCCAAAGAACTGACTTCCCCATTTCTTTTAATCCTGCACTTATTTTATAGCCAGCATATTCTCTTTTAGTCCATGATTACTTATTTTAAATTGTCTTCCATTTCTATGGCTTTGTCTCCTGTGACTCCACCTTTCTGGTCTCCCAAACGATGCAATCTGTGCCATTAGCTGATGTAACTGATTAGAGCCAGGAGATGCTTCATGTCTTCATCCAATGCTGGGGAGAGAAGATGAACAGGCAAGATGATCAGACAGCAAGAAGACTCCACCACCTCTCATTTACAGGTCCGAGACCTCGGAGACAAGCCACCTAAAATAGTGCAGACGGCACAGTTACCAACAGATGCAACTGTCAGAGGCACACATCGGTCTCAAGGTGCAAATCACTGATCTCATACCACACTCACCAGCTCTCAGTTCTGATCCTGTATTAACAAGAATTGCACTGCCATTTTTATAGCTCAGGAAATGATTCCCAATTCTGTTGAATTTGATAAGTTTTATCTAGCACCTCTTTGGGAAGAATTTTTGTTTATTCTTTTAAATACCTGAAATGCAATTCCAAACATTTTCAAGTTAAACTCCTTTCTCTTCACAACCAACCCCAGAAAGAATCTGGGTGAAAGACAAGGAATAGCAATTGTTCTCTTTGTTCTAGAGCAAACCAATTGTATTTGGATTCCCCATGGAGGTGGTTCCTAACAAATTGTTCTGTACCAATTATCTCCATGCAAAGGTCAGGTAAAGTCTCAAAGATCTAAATCTAGGATAAAAGGAATGTTCACATTTCTCAACAGAAGGGAAGTGACTTCATGACTGTGTTTACTAAATGTGGAATTCCCCCAGCAAATTTACATATTGCAAAAGTTATAAAAGAGTAAAAATTCCATTCAACGAAATTTTCAGGGAACAGAATTCTAAATATATGAATTTAAAAAGGTACTCATCAAAATTCCCTTTAGAAAATTACAATGTCTAATTCTAAAGTGACTGAATTAGTTCTTTGCCTTACAGAAGTGTTTTCTGCTGGGTTCAAGTAACAGCCTAGGACTCTGCCCCAAACTCTCTGTGTCCTGGTGTTTGAATATAGAAAACTATGGTCCCAAATGTGGATGAACTTAGGAGCCAGTATGTTTATCCTGGGAACCTCATTTTTAAAATACAAGGTTGAGCTAGGTATGTGGCTCAGTGATAGAGAGCTGGGTTAGCACCAAGAGGTGCTGGGCTTGGGCACCAGCCCTGCAAAATAAGTAAATAAATATAAAAGTGAAAATTCAACTTTCATTTTTATTGTTATTTTTAAAATTTCTAGTAAAATAAGAATTATGAAAATAAAATACCAGTTGCTCTAGCCCCTAATAACTAAAGTTCTAATTAACTGAGACATTATTCCAAGGCAGAATCTGAGGGTAAAGTCTGTACTTTAAAGGCAGGATGAAAATTTGAATTATAAGTGGATGTTGAATATTAACCCTGACACTGGCCTGGATAGCAAGTTTCTCAATCTCAGCACTATTGACTTTTGGGCCAGGCAATTCTTTGCTGTTGGGCTTCTCCTGTGTGCTGTGGGAGACTTGGCACCATCCCTGGCCTCCACCTACAATATGCCGATGCCCTCTCCCAGCTGTGACAACCAAAAATAGCTCTGGTCTCAGCCAACTATCTCCTGAGGGGCAAAATCAACTTGGTTGACAATCTTTATTCTTGTGAGGGGGAAAAGTCATTTATCAGCCATTTCTAATCCACTTTAAAGAATGCATTTCCATCATATAATGAAGTATTAAATAACCATTAAAAATATTTTAAGACACTTACTAGGTGCAAGAATATGCTCATCTTATAATGTGAAATAATAATAAAACAGAACATGAAAGTGTATGTGCTATATATATGCATATGTATATACAACAAGGTACACATATTTGAAAAATTTACAATAATTAAAAAGGGAAAACACAAAAATGAAAATCATAGTTACCTCTGGGTGGTCAGATAAAGTGGTGTATACATTCTTATTTAAATTTTTCTGTTTTCCTAGATTGTCTACCAGGAACCTGTATTTTTGTAGTTTTAAAATGAAACACAAAGGAAGGACAATGTATTTTATATTCTATGTCCCCTATTCCTAATTTAATTGTCTTCCAGACCCTGAAGAAACCATGGTGGTCCTTTCTCTCAGGATCCTTATGTTCATGAGATGCTTACCACTGCCTCACACTGGAGTCTTAAGTGCCCAAGGTCAGAATTCATGACAGCGTTTACACCTTTTTTCTCCATCTGAGCATATTCATTGATTGATTCATTCATTTCTCTGGCACCATGCTAGCTACTAGGAATTCAGTGTGGTGAATAAGGCAGGTAGAGTCCCTGCTGCCACAGAAGACAAAGAATGAACCAACAAGCAGATGCAGGAGCAAAATAATTCCAGAGCATAAAAGAAGCTGGGAAGGCAAGAAAGCACAGTGACAGTGACTGGCAGGAAGCACTACTTTACAGTGTGTGGTTAGGGAAACCCCTCTGAGGAAGAGACATCTGAGCTGACCAAAGAACTAGACAAAGAGAACTAGCACAGCACATTCAGAAAGAAGAAAGCCATCGAAGTAGGCTTTTTGCAAGCAAAGAGGTGTGGCTGGAGGCCAGGCTGGGGAGTTGGCAGGACCTGGTGGTACGATGTCCTACAACCAGGCTTAGGGTTAGACATGCAGGGTGAGTCACAATCTTCCAGGTCAAGAGCTTGGACTCTGCATTCTAAAATGGGTCTTCAAGGTGACTGGGATGTATTGGAGATTTTGAGAGCCACAGTTCCAGGGTCTTGGCTTTCTTCCAAAACTGAGGGACTTGTGGGCCCAGAGGTGGTGTGTGAACTGATTCAGACAGCTGCTCTTCAGAAGATGGGACACAAAGCAGATGCAGCACTGTCTTTGGGAGCTTGTGAGAAATGCAGTATCTCAGTCACCTGCCCGGATGTGCCAATCAGAATCTACATTTCAACAACAATGCAAGAGGTTTGAATACAAGTGAAAGTTTGAGAATCGCTGATTTAAACCAATGTACTACACATTACAATAAAGCTTAGACAGAGAAGATTAAAACAATATGACTTTTAGTGATAAGAGAGCAACAACATATTGATTATATTGTCACTTTCCTCTGAGAAGGGAGGCACTATCAATAAGCTGAGTAAAGTCTCTTCCAGGTTATGCTTATATTTAGTTTCCTTGGAGCGAATTGTAGAGTCTGAACTACAGCCTTGCACTTGGCTCTGCAAAGGCTCATCACCTGGGCAATAGACACTGAAACTTACTTTACCTTCAAATTTTTTAAAAATAAAAAATGATTTTCCTTTCTTTTTTTTAAAGCATCACATTTGGTATGCTCTGCTAGTATTTCATATTTTTAAAAATACGTGTATTAGTCTGTATTGTGTTGCTACAATAAAACCAGATGCCAGGTAATGTATTAATAACAAAAAGTTGGCTCAGAATTGCATGTCTGGAAAGTCCAGACAGCATGGCACTGACATCTGACAAGAGTTCCCCTGACTGTGTCAAGACAAGACAGAGAAACAGAAAGGAAAACACTATGGGAAGAATGGGTCAAATATATAGAGTGGTCTCATTTTGTGACATTCTACTCCTGTGAGAACTACATTAGTCCTTTCTGAGGGCAGTGGCTCTAAGGCCTAATCATCTTCCACTAGGCCTCACTTCTTAAAGATCCAGATTCTCTTAACACTGGAAGTTGTGAGGGACACGCTCAAACCATATCCAAACCACAGCAGTGTGTAAGAATTAAAGAAATACAAACAGTATGGAACAAAGACTTCTATGATTAATCTTTAATAATTGTGAGTCTTATTTATGTTCTCCGTTCCTCTGACCCATGACGCTTTGCACATCTCTTTGACTTAGTGTTGGTATCTATAGACACTACTCTAAAATATCTCTGGCTTTCTTTTTCCTCTTATTAACCTGGGGCTTTCCATTTTTTATGCAACAGCGTTTGCTAATTAGACTTGCCCTGGAGGGCAGATTTTGCTTCTCTTCTTTCAGTGATCAGAAAAAAGACCATGTTGATATATGAGCCTTGTGTTTATTCTATAGCTCTCACTATTCAAATGTTTCTTTCAACTGACCATGGCTACTAACTTCATTTCTTTGTCCCTTGAAGCCGATAAGCCATTCCTTTTAGCAACCATCACTAATTCAAGAATAAACACAGTGCTTTCTCCAAAAGTGTTACATTCTGTTAAAGGAATCTAGGAAAGGTACAAATTCTCTCAGCATGGATATTATGAATGGATTTTAAAGTGCGATGCAGTAGGGCTCATCTGCCTCATCTTCTTTGGTGATGGTCACAGCCCACAGGTGCTCTCTATTTACATCCTTATGCATGAGGACACACAGCTAATCATGCCACTCTTTTCCTCCGGGCTACCTTGCCTGGGAAGAGGTTTTCATGGGGAACAGCACTGGATGCTATTTTACTCAGGTTTATGGTGCCAACTGCTACTGTCGTGGTTCTGCTTTTGTGAACAAGTTGCTCCTATATCTAGGGCTTCTGTAGCAGGAGGGCTTTCTGGTCCTACAGATGTCTACAAGTAAAAGCCCCAGAAAATACAATACTTTGCCTTTGGTGTCTTGGCCTACTTCTTGTTTCACTGCTCTGTGACCTAATGATGCAGAGGGTAAAAATCTCCACAGCAGTCATCATTGTCATCAAGTTCTTAAGTAATATTCTGCTTGGATAATGCAACAGCTCTTAGAAAAGGATCCACCTGAACCTTTCCTGAACCACTCTCTCAAGCCATTTTGTGGGACTATAAGGGCAGATATTTATTTGAGCGAGGTCATTAATAACCTTCAGTGTCTGGTGCAGAGTAGGTACTCACTGAGCAATTGCAGGATGAATGAACTTTACTCAGTAAGCCAAGCATACCCCCAGGGCTGAGATGGCTTTCTTGAGCCTCTTTTCTCTTTGGAGACCTTTCCATGTCCTGTGTGTGGGCTTCTAGAACACTTCTCTGCATTCTTCAGGCTTATACAGTGGGCTCCACTACTTAAGCACCAGAGGTCAATGGCACTTACCATACCTGACACTTCTATTGAGAAGTGCTGAATAATTTGCTATCTCAGTCCATTTTCTGTTGCTATGACTGCATACCTGAGACTGGGTAATTTACAGAGGAAAGAGAATATTTTTGGCTCATGATTCTGGAGGCTGGAAAAGGGCCCAGATTAGCTCAGTTTTAAGGGAGAACGTCACGGTGGAAAGAAGAGAGTTCCCAAAGTATGAAAGAAAACAAGAAAG